CTCATCAATTAGATTCATAGACTTCCCTGGAGCTCTGAAAGAAGAAGTATCCATACCATGGTCAAATAGTCAGTAAGTGACAGAGACGAGTTTAAACTCAGGTCCTCTGAGCTCTGAGGCCAACCCTAGTATTCATTACATCACCCAGTCTCTATTTCACAAAAAGAGTCAAGTCAGTCAATAAATATTTAAGTGCCTACTATGTGCCAGGCACTGTGCTAATCAAATCCAGGTCTGCTTATTTCAACATCAGCACTCCTTCTATTGAATCAAGCTACCCATAATTCATTTATCCTAGAATTATGTCTCTGCTAGAGTCATCAAAGGGACAGAGTAGTTATGTTCTTTAATGTCAGCATTAAAGGTTAGGACTTTCCCTGAATGATCCATTATGGAGCTGTCATTCAGGAAATTATCGGAACCTTCTGGGATTCTGCATAATAAATTGAGAGACCACATAGTGTTTTTATAGGAAAGTGCATTGAATTTTGAATCAGAGGATCTGCATTCAAATTCTGGATCTTCCCATTGCCCCCTAGTGGCCCTAGGTAAGTCGTTTTCTCTCTTTAGGGCTCCATTTCACTATCTGTAAAATAAGAGGATAGAGTTCTAGCTCTGATTCTGTGTTCTTGTGGGCCCTTTGTTTACTCTTTTCTGTGAGAAGTAGGCTGGCCTTTTACTTGTCTCTAACTCTGTCCTCTTATATAAAGAGGAGACCCCCTGCAGGATTATAAACCCAATAGCAAAATGTTGGACTTCAACCTTGATGTCTTCTAAGATTTTGTGAACAAACCTATGTCAGCCACCTTCATGCTCTTAGTGACTTCATTTTCCCTTTCAGCCTTTGTGTTTCCACAATGCCTCATCCTTATGGCAAACAGGCCTTTTCCATCCCCATCAGGAACTTGAGTGAAGTCCCAATCTCTCCCAAGTCCCTGTGAGCTGATCAGCTACAGAGGGGAACATCCTTGCCATTTGAACTTGAATAGAATTGGCATGTTTTAATAGAAAAGAGTACTAACTAAGAAACCAAGAGACTACATGGGCGCCAGTCCTAACTTTTCTACTGGGTGGATGGTGCTCTGTGACACTGGTCAAATCTCTTCTTCTCTGTGGGCCTTCCTTTCTATAATCTTGTAAAGCCCATTTATATGACTAAGCCCCCACGGAATCCAGAAACCCCTTAAAAACGTGCTGCTCTAATTGACAGGTAATACTAGCTTTCTGCCCCAAATATCATATCTAGCAAGGATACAGTTATTGTTCACAAAAAAGTTTACTACTCACCCCAGGAAAGTCATTGAGCTCTTCAACATAGGTCTTATTAATTTAAAAGAAAAAAGCCCTCTCTGTCAGTGCAGTCATTTCCAGTGATTTATTGAAGTCCATCTGATTGCCTCCTGATTTTCCTCCCCAGTCGTATTTTTCTTCTTCAGATGCTAGACCCTCATCCCTTTCATATACTTCTTTTTGTTCATCTAGCTCCCGCATTCCCTTCCCTCCTCCACCTCCCAGCTCTCTGAAGTTTAAATTTCTATTCTAGTCCCTTTGTTGACTGCTGAGTTTTTTCCTAAGTAGCCAATTCTTAGAAAGTCAAGTTAGGCTTTGCTGCACAGAGCCCCCACAGCGATCCCTCACCAGCTCATTCAGGCCAGAGGAAAAGTTGTTGAGGCTTTTTCCCATTGTCATTGTTGCTATCATTATTTCCTCTCTTTTAATTTCCTTTTCCTGTGTGGAGCAGCTGGCCTTCGTGCTTACCTTCTCATCATGGGGGTGGGAAAGGAGAAGCTGTTCTTTACAAATGTTACACTCAAAGCAATTTGCATCCCATAATTAATGAACATTAAAATGCACAATTAGAAACAGAAACAAATGGCTGTGCAATGATTAAAAATCAGGTTATGAAAGGAGAAGGCAAACTCAGGAGGAAGAGAGAGGATGGACAGAAACCAAAGCTAAGCTGAAATATTGACGCACTCCTCCACTCAAAGGCTGTCTATAATGTTCCCCAAGAAACACGTGTTCCTTCTCTGTCTTAAATCATAGTCTGTTCACTTGAAAGAGGACTTACCAAATCCTTTGTTTTGCTCTTGATGCTCAGGTATGTACTATTCCTGTCAAGTTGCCTGTGTAACTGTGGGAATACAAAGTTACTTCTCTGGTCTTCCGTTTCCCTGTCTATAAAAAGTAGGGTTTGGAATAGACAAGGAATTCTTATTTTTTTTTATTATAGGCCCATTTGGAAGTTTGGTGAAGCCTATAGACTCCCTCACAAAAGAATATTTTCAAATGGATAAAGTAAAATACATAGGATTACAGAGGAAAATAATTATATTGAAGAACAGCTATTTTTGTTTTTAAGTTTAAAGATTGGACTAGATAGTTTCTAAAATGATTGCTTCCTTCTGTAACTTTCTATGTTCTAAGGCCTTTTCAAACTCCAGTATTCTGTGCTTTATGCATCTATGCACTAAGGTCCCATCATGTTCTAATATTTTATGTTCTAAGGTCTCTTCCATCTCTAATATTCTATAAGCCTAGGTCATCAGCCAAAATGAAATGAAGGAAGTCAGGGTTGGGTTGGGGGAGGAGAGTTCATTGCCTACCTCAAAAAAGTTGTTTGACTGATCATAGGTCTGAGATACTTCCCATTGCCTGATGAAAAGACATCAGGACTGTTTCCAGGTTTTTGTCTCTCAGTGACCCAAGACAGGCAGAATGTGCCTTCAGCCACACGCTAATGGCCCTTTGGCCAGGAATCCATCATGCCTCAGTGGCTTCTGTCCAGAGATGAGCCCTGCAGGAGCAAGAGATCTCCTGAACTTTTATTAATATGTATGGCATTTCACTCACATAGAAAATTGATTTTCTTTTTTAAGCACCAAATGTAGCAGTTTTATAACCTTTCTTCAACTTGACAGAGGCCATTTATAACCTGCTTTCACTAGCACCTGTGTCGGCTCCAGTCAAACTCATCCTCAAGAACTCTATAATGCATTTTTAATTGTGAGCTGTTCTACTATGCGATTTATTTTCCAAAAGGATTGACCTTTTTTATTTGGGCTTTTTTTCCCATTGTTCAAGAGCTGGTGAGAAGAAGGAGGAAACATTAGCAGGAGTGAGGCAGGAAAGAAGATAAGGGAGTAAGAGCATTCAAATTTGGCAACTCTCATGGTGGATTGGGATGGTCTGGCTGTGGGTTTTAATCTTCATGGAAAAACCAGGACCTAACTTCCTCTTAGAAAGCAGGAGAGCAGCAGGTTATATTCCATCTGTCCAAGATGTATAGGATGGGCTAACCACATAAAGTAAAATAAAATAAAATAAATAACTCCCATACACAGAAATACTGAAAGGCTATAGGATTATCTAATTCAGTGTCCCCCTACACCACCCCACCTCAAGCATGAATCTATTCTATAACATTCATGACAAAGTGAACCATCCAGTTGCTCTGAAGATACCTGAAGTCACAAGAAACTCACTACCTCCTGAGACAGTCCAATTGACTGATGGATAGCTATGACTCATAGGAATTCTTTATATTGAGCAAAAAATCTACCTTCTTGTGACTTTAAACTTTAAATTTCAGTTCTGCCTTTTAATTTAATCTTCCTCATCACAGCCCTTCAGATATTTTAAGACTTTTTATTTTGCACCTTTAAAAATCTTCTGTTATTCAATTTTTTGGAGCAGAAAGGTCTACTGGGGTCAATTCTTTTCTTTTCTCCCTCTCTCTCAGCATCAACAAATATTTAAATGGTGTCTACTGTGAAGCACAGTACCTACCCTAACATAACATATTAGAGATAGGAAGACAAATCATATACCTTAAAAACAAACAAACAAACAAAAAACCAAACTAACCAATTAGGTAGTTTATGCAAAAAGCCCGTTGAATGGCTTATGTCTTAGACAACATGAGCTGTGGAAGTACTGAAGTAGGAAAAGTCACTGTAAGTCAGGGTAGTCAGGGAAGGCTTCGTGGAATAGATAGTATTTGAGCTGAATGATGTTTTTTCGATTGCTTAACATGCATGCTTGGCATTTGTAATGAAAACAGTTTCCTCACGTTTAACATGATGCATCTTTCATTCCTCATGCCCCATACATGTGAAAGGGGTGACTTGCTGGTAAAGAATAGATGTCCCAACTATACCCAAAATGTAGATTTGACACGCTTTTGTTGTTTCACTATATCTTTTTTTTTTTTTTTTTACTATAAAAGCTATTCTTTCATTTAGGAATAAGTAGGTTCTGGGCCTCCTCCCACCCCTTTCATTTTCCAGGTTGTGGAAAGCAGTTCATTCATGACTATCCTTCCAGAGCAAAGAATGAATTATGTGCTGAATTTACAACTTATTAAGTGTGTTAATTTGGACAAGTCATTTCTTGTCTCTAGACTTCAGTTTCCTCATTTAAAATAATGCATCTCTCATCTCCATTAAGTTGTACTAATTATCCCACTTGCCTGAAATACACACCTACCTAAGCTCTGACCCTTTAAATCCCTTGTGTCCTCAAAACTCTTCCTAAGGAATGTGAAGCTTTTCTTGCTTCACCCAGCAGCTAGTGCCCTGTGTTCAAAAAATTACCTTGTATTTATTTTGATTATACTTTTTTATGTACACATTGTCTCCCTCAATGGAATGTAAGCTGCTTGAGGGCAAGGACTGTTTCACTTTTGTCATTGTATCCTTAGTAGTTCCTAGCATATAATAGGTGCTTAGTAAATTTTGGTTTGATCAGTTGATTGGGTGACTGACAGACTAGGTGATATCTAAGATTTCATCTAATTTTAATGTTCTGTATCCTAAATATATGACAAATTCTGATACTCATGTTGTAAAATGTTCAGTTTTCTAAAGTTCCTTCTAATTCTATAGTTTATATATTAAAACTGTGTTTGTTGGCTTCTCCTTGTTCTGATACTCAGTGAAGCTATGAAGGATATTTTTATGTCCCCAATCTCCAGTATTCTTTTTTTTTTCTTCTTGCAGTGCCCAGAAGAGCTGCGGCCAATGAAAGATGGTACTGGCTGCTATGACTATTCCAAGGGGATTGACTGTTCAGATGGTTTCAATGGGGGTTGTGAACAACTATGTCTCCAGCAGACTCTACCTCTGCCTTATGATGCCTCTTCCAGTACCATCTTCATGTTTTGTGGGTGAGTGTCTTTGCCAAGAGGCAATAATCTCCATTATTGCTACAAGATAATCTATTTTCTGCACAGCTGTCAAATTTATAATCTTAAAGCATAGTTCTGATCAAGTTGCTCCCTTATTCAAAAAAACTTTGGTGGTTCTTGTTGCCTTTAGGATAAAATAAAAACTCCGCTAATTGATCCATAAAGCCATTCTTTCTAAATCTGGTTGATTTGTCTAGATAGATAGATTTCACATGATTTTTCCTTACACTCTATATTCCAACTGCATTGGCCTAGAAGATGTTCCTCTTACATGACATTCAATTTCCCACTCCTGTATCTTTGAACAGGCTGTATCACATTCCTGGAATGCTCTCTCTCCTCATCTCTACTGCCTGGAATACATAGCTCCCTTCAAAACTCAACTCAAGTGCCACTTATTATAAGAAGCCTTTTCTTTTTCTTTCTTTCTTTCATTTTTTTTTATTCAAGTCTTCTTTTTAAAAATTTTTTATTAATTTATTTTGATTTATCAACAATCACTTCCATATGCTTTTGAGTTTAAAATTTTTCTCCCCCTTCCACCCCACCACCCTCCCCAAGACAGCACACAATCTGATATAGGCTATACATATACATTCCTATTAAACATATTTTCACATTAGTGATGTTGTAAGTAAAAATTAGAACTAATAGAAGGAACCACCAGAAAAAGGAAACAAAACTCAACAGAAGAGAAAAAAATAGCAATTGAAATGCCATAGTTCTTTCTTTGGTTGTGGATAGCATTTTCCATCATGAGGCCTTTGGAGATGTCTTAGATCCTTGTATTGCTGGGAAGGGTTAAGTTTATCAATATTAGTCATCGCACAACATGGCTGTTATGCATACAATGTTCCCTTGGTTCTACTCACTTCACTCAGCATCAGACCATACAAGTCTTTCCAGGTTTTTCTGAGGTCAGCCTGTTCATCATTTCTTATAGCACAGTGGTATTCCATTACATTCATATACCACAACTTGCTCTGCCATTCCCCAATTGATGAGCATCCTCTCAATTTCCAATTCTTTGCCACCACAAAAAGAGCTGCTATGAATATTTTTGTACATGTGGGTCCTTTTCCCATTTGTATGATCTCTTTGGGATACAGCCCTAGAAGTACTATTGCTGGGTCAAAGGGTATACACATTTTTATAGCCCTTTGGGCACAGTTCTAAATTGCTCTCCAAAATGGTTGGATCATTTGACAACTCCACCAACAATGCATCAGTGTTCCAATTTCCCCACATCTTCTCCAACATTTATCATTTTCCTGTTTTGTCATGTTGGCCAATCTGATAGGTGTGATGTGGTACCTCAGAGTTGTTTTGATTTGCGTTTCTCTAATCAATAGTGAGTTAGAGCATTTTTCATATGACTATAGATGGCTTTAATAAGAAGCCTTTTCTTATAGCTTTTGTTAGTACATCTTCCTTAACCATCTCCACCTTCATCCTTCTATAAAATACTTCACATTTATTTTGTATTTACTTGACTGTGTGCATCTTGTTTGCCCCGCCCCCAGGAACTACTCTAGTACAGGGGCTGTTTTGCCCTTGTGTCCCCTGCACCTTCTACAAAATCTAACTCATAGTGGGCTCTTAATAAATACTTGTTAAATTGAAATGATAGGACTTACAAAGAGAGATGGTTTTCATTTTTTAAAATGACTAGCATAAAACCAATTAATTAGGACACTTACTTAGCTAAACTTTTTTTTTCTCTGCTGGACATTTAACCAAAGTAGCAAATCTTAAAATAATCCAGTTCAGTTTAACAAATATTTATTAATGCATTCTGTGTTTTGATTACTAGGATACAAACATAAATATACAAGTACTTGCCTTTAGGGCAGTAGAACTGCCCTAATTTGAAAGAAGGGCAGCTAGGTGGCACAGAGGATAAACTGCTGGGCCTGGAGTCAGGAAGACCCAAGTTCAATCTTACCTCAGACACTTACTAGCTGTGTGACCCTGGGCAAATCATTTAACCCTGTTTGCCTCAGTTTCCTCATCTGTAAAATGAGCTGGAGAGGGAAATGGCAAGCTACTTAGTATCTTTGCCAAGAAAACCCCTAATAGGGTCATGAAGAGTTGGAGATGACTGAAACAACTTAACAACAATGAGAGATTGGAAAGAACTCTGAAATTCATAGGTCCATAGGATCATAGTTCTAGAGTCTGAACATACCTTAGAAATCAACCATTCAAATTCTTCACTTTATAGATGGGGAAACTGAGGCTCAGGGAGGTCATGAGACTTCCCCAAGTCACAAAGGTAGTAATAATCAAAACTGGAATAGAACTTGGGTATTCTGGTTCCAGAGCCATTGTTCTTGCTACCGTACCATGACAAGTCATAAGATCTCTGTTGAAATCCCAGCTGTGCCATTTATACCTTGTGTGAATTTGGTCTTAGTTTTATTCAACTCAATTAAAGAAGGATTTAAGTATGTAGCATGTGCCAAGCACTGTGATGTGGATATGAAGCCCAGAAAGAAACAGTCCCTCCCCTCAAAGACCTTGCCTTCTACTGAAAAGAAACAATATATACGCATATAAGTAAATGGAAGATATTTACAGAGCTTTGAGGATCAAGTGTGAAAGCAAAGGGCACTAACATTTGGAGAGCTCAAGAGAGATGAAGCAGGGGTTTAGATTAAATATATCTTTTTATAATGCTGGGGAGTGTATAGTATAGTAAGGAGGAGGCACATACACAGGAATAGAGAGACTATAAGATTCAAAAAACATTAAATGCATAGGAAAGGTCTGATGGAGTGAAAAGGAAAGTGGGGGAAAGAAAAGATTGCTTTGAGCTATGTAGCTGGGGTGGGGAGGGATATAGAAGATTTCTGAGGGGAATAGCACTAATAATAACAATTTATTTTTGTGGTATTTTAAGGATTACATTGTAATTTTTTATAACAACTCTATCAGGTAGGTAGTGTAAATAGCATTATTTCGATTTTGCAGATGAGAAAACTGAAGTTAAGTAATTTGTTCATTATCACACAACTAGTTATTTTCTAAAGCAGGAATCAAACTTCTCATCTATTACATGTGATTTTCTCTCACTAAGTTTATCTTTCATAGAAGAGAAGGCATTCAAAAGGAGACACACTTGGTTTTGGAAAGAAGTCTATAGAAACTACATGGTATAATGACCAGGGGTGAGGAAACTGTGACCTCAAGGCCACATGTGGCCTTTTAGGTCCTTGTGTGTGGCCTTTTGACTGAGTCCTAGTTTTATAGAACAAATCATTTTATTAAGAGAATTTGTTCTGTAAAGTTTGGATTCAGTCAAAGGGCTGCACTTGACGACCTAGAGGGCCACAGTCTAATGACAGCATGAGATTAGGGAGCATTACATAGTTTCATTTTTCTGGGATATAGAATGTGTGAAGGGGATGACCTTGGGAATAAAAGGAGGAAAAGGTAGGTTAGAACTAAACTGTGGAAGACTTTAAGTGCTAGACTAGCTTGTTAGTCACCTTAGACAACTGTATGATATATTGGGTGGAGTGATGGACTTGAGTCAACAAAAGCTTAGTTCAAAAGTGCTTTAGATAATCCATCATATCAACACCAAAACTAACAGAAACCAGATGATCATCTCAATAGATGCAGAAAAAGCTTTGGACAAAATACAACACACATTCCTATTAAAAACACTGGAGAGCATAGGTATAAATGGAGTCTTCCTTAAAATAATAAATAGCATCTATCTAAAACCTTCAACAAGCATAATATGTAATAGGGAGAAGCTAGAAGCATTTCCACTAAGATTAGGGGTGAAACAAGGATGTCCATTATCACCACTGTTATTCAACATCGTACTGGAAACGTTAGCTTTAGCAGTAAGAGAAGAAAAAGATATTGAAGGCATTAGAATAGGCTAAGAAGAAACAAAGCTATCACTCTTTGCAGATGACATGATGTTATACTTAGAGAATCCCAGAGAATCCAGTAAAAAACTACTTGAAATAATAAACAACTTTAGGAAAGTTGCAGGCTATAAAATCAACCTACATAAATCATTGGCATTTCTATATATTACCAACAAAACCCAACAGCAAGAGATAGAAAGAGAAATTCCATTTAAAGTTACTGTAGACATTATAAAATATTTATGAGTCTACCTCCCGAAACAAACCCAGGAACTCTATGAACACAATTACAAAACACTTTTCACGGAAATAAAATCAGATCTAAATAATTGGAAAAACATCAGTTGCTCATGGGTAGGCCGAGCTAATATAATAAAAATGACAATTCTACCTAAGCTAATTTACTTATTCAGTGCCATACCAATCAAACTACCAACAAATTATTTTATAGAGTTAGAAAAAATAATAACAAGATTCATTTGGAAGAACAAAAGGTTCAGAATATCAAGAGAACTAATGAAAAGAAATGCAGGGGAAAGTGGCCTAGCCATTCCAGGTCTTAAATTGTATTATAAAGTAGCAATCATCAAAACTGCTTGATACTGGCTAAGAAGTAGAGTGGTGGATCGGGGAATAGGTTAAGTATGCAAGACACAGTAGTCAGTGACTATAGTAATATATTATTTGATAAACCCAAAGACCCCAGCTTCTGGAATAAGAACCCACTCTTTGAAAAAAAAAAACTGCTGGGAAAACTGGAAAAGAATATGGCAGACACTAGGCATAGACCAAAATCTCACACCATATACCAAAATAAAGTCAAAATGGGTACATGATTTAGATATAAAGGCTGATACTATAAGCAACCTGAGAGAGCAAGGAATAGTTTACCTGTCAGATCTATGGAGAACAGAAGAATTCATGACCAAACAGGAGATAGAGAACATTACGAAAAGCAAAATAGATAATTTTGATGACATTAAATTGAAAAGTTTTTGCACAAATAAAGCCAATGCAACTAAGATTAGAAGGAAGGTAGAAAATTGGGAAAGAATTTTTACAACCAGTCTCTCTGATAAGGGCCTCATTTCT